TTCGGATGCATATTTTCTCCCGATTCATAATCCAACCCACTTTACCAATTCTAAAGCCTTCATGCTTAAGGTTACACAAACCAAAAGAAGCAGGTTCACAAATAACAAGCGTGTGCTGCGGTGCATTTCATTTCTTTCTTCTTTCCCATCTCTGCAAGTTGTCTAATAGACCTTAAAGCACCAACCTCCAAATAATCTTCACTTCCAATTCCATGATATATATTCAAACAAATTCATTAAAAAAAAATGTATTTGTGTTTTTTCAATCGATTGCAGGATCAAATAAATCCCTGCAGTAGCTCCATTAAAGTTCCAGTTGAGAAATTTGCAAAAGATAAAAGAAATGGAAGAAAAGATACACCAAACCCTTCCCAACTCTCCATCATCTCTTCGTCCTGCAACTCCTCGCCAACAAAACTCCACTAGGTGGACTAGTGAGCTCAATCTGGCATCGACCGTACAACCAATAGGAAAAGTGGCCAACCCCGAAGCTCGCCCTAACCCTAAACGTCCCCCTCACGGTAAACCAAACTCTATTAGTCCGTACCTGTCTCACAAGCTCCGCCGCAATCTCCGGCGGCAGGTAAACCTGGCTGGAAATCATGTGCAAGCCCAGAAGCTTCGCCTCACCGCTCCGCTGCACGAAGGGCTGAATCAGCTGCGCCGCGATGAGACGTTTGAGGAAATAGAGCTCGATGCTCGAGTACTCGAAGACGACATCGATCTTGGTGTTAGGGTTTGAGAAATTGACAAGGAAGGTGAGGTCGGCGTTGAGGTATGCGGCGGAATCGAGGTAGATCGCGTTTAGCGTCGCGGCGGTGGTGTCAAAGGAAGGGTTACGGGGTTTGATGATGAGGAAGATGATGAGAATGAGGACGACGGAAGCAATGAGGAGGAGGATGAGAATGACGCAGAGGAAGGCGGCGAACCAGATGAAGGGGTTGGTTCGATGGTGAGGGCGGAGGAGTGCGTGGGTTCTCGTGCGGCCGCCGGCGGAGTATTCAGGCGGATCGGATCGGAGAGATTTCATGGGGATGGTGGAGGATTTGAGAGGGTGGAAATGGAAGGGAGGAGGGGAGAGGGCTATCATCGAGCGTAGTTAGGGGAAAGGAAGGAGTGATGCTTACCTTCACCTTTCGGCTATAACACTCGAATATTTAATATTACATAAAAGTTTTAATTTTATTATTATTTAAAATAAAATATATTATAAATATAAATATCAAATTTTAGTTGTAAGACATGGAAATAAATAAAATTTGGGTGCAATGCATGCATGAAATTCCCCCAAGAAAATATGCATTTGCCTTTTTTTTTTTTTT